AGAATGGCCCTGTTGTGGGGCAGGACCTCGGATTATCATAATCCAATTTTGATGAAATTTATGTTAAAGTAAAAAATTTTAAAATGGAAAAAGCAGGCATATCATAGCCCTGTTTGGGAAATCACATCACTCTTCAGTATCACAAAAAACTTTGAGTATCACATTTCCAGAATAATTAAAAAATATCATTAAACTTTTTGCCGAAGGTCAAGAATTTTTCTTATTATTATAGAATTTCTATTTGAATAATGCATGTCTCAATTATTTGTTATCCAAACAAATTAATCATTCAATGTAACTTGAATATTCAAAATTAATTCAAATAAAATAACCTTTATTTGAACAGAAACTTTAAAGCAATAAATTACAAGTGACATCAGTGACGGAGTCATTATCATGAATCATATTTCTAGCATAACAATAAAATTACTTTGTTGATTTTATAATTAAAATTTTTTGTTATAGATAACTAGATTTATTTACTATGATTGAAGTTTAGGAGTAGTAATTAAATTATAATTTATCATCATCATCATTATCTTATATTTGCCCTATTACTATGAAAAATAAAATACGGAATTAACGTATGTCAAATTCGTTCTTAAAAATAATTTTTTTAATTAATATCCTAATACGGTTTTGAAAATTGCCTTTTTCAAATTTAGTGTGAAATCCGGAATTGGTACGGAGTCTGTATGAATTTGTAACACATTGAAAAGGTACGTGTATAAGGTACGGAATTTGTAACATACTAATATTGAAAAGATACCTTTTCGATTTCACATATAAGGCACGGAATTTGTAACAGTATTTTTTGATTCTGCGCATAAAGCACGGAATTTGTAACATAACTTAATTATAATACTGAAAAGGTTTTCGATTCCGCATATAAGGTACGGAATTTGTAACTTACTGAAAGGTATCATATAAAGAATACGTTTATTTTATTCATTATAAAACATATAGTAATAGTATTTTGTTAATATATGTCATCATCGTAATAACGTAATTAGTTTCAGTTTTTCTGTTAATTTTTGTCATTTCTCAATTTGCAGATCTCAATTGTACAGTCAAACCTCGATAAGCCGAATCACAAAAATATGATCGGCTTATCAAAATTCGGTTTATGAAAAACGATTTTTATTGTTCAAATAAAAAGTATAAAATAATAAATTTATTTGTGAAAGATTAGGGCGATTGATAGCGTGGAGTAAACCAAATTTTATCATTATAAGACGAATTTTAAAACCAGTTTATAATCATCGACTGTTTTCACAAATATTCGGCTTAGAAAGTTGCATTTTTATTAACGTTAGGTTCGGTTTATCAAGTAGGGTGGGGTTATAATTAATAAAATTCGGCTTAATGAAATAATTTTTTTATTAAACATGATTTGGTTAACTAATTTTTGATCGTTATAAAGCGAAATCGGTTTGTAGTAGTTCGGTTTATTGAGGTTTGACTGTACTTTGAATTTTTTAAAAACATTTTTTTACTCGAAGTTTCTTTTATATATTTAATATGTAGTATGGTTTAGATAATTCGAATAGAGAGCTGTATGGAACCAGTAAAAGCGGAAAACACAGCTATTTTAAACAAAAAAAAAAAATGATGCAATAAAAATCGATATACAAAAAATGGTTTTTGTTTAAAAAATGATGTAAAAAAACAATATATTGTCACCGATTAAATTTGGGAGAGCGTATTTTTAATTGGTGATTACAATTATTTTTGTTTTGTGTGGATCAGAATGAATAGGGATCAACGAATTGATTTTGTTATTAGCGAATAATTTTGGGTAAAGAAGATAAAAATTTTCAAAATATTTATTATTTTATTTATTTATTTAGTTTCTCTTAGTCGAAACTAATTAACTTATTACAAAGTTATTTTCACAGTAGGTCAAATTCGAGTTCTTTATATACATGTTAATTAATTATAAACCCGTATGGGTTCGCACGCTCGTTTAGGTTCATGAGCCCATATGGGCACATTGTCACTAATTTCTACTAAATACAGTGAACCCTTGTTTCAACGAAATATAATTAAATTTTTGATACAACGAATTTTTAAAAACGTTGTTACACATGAAAACACAAAAATTCGTTGAAACGCGATTAGTAAACCTTGTTTCAACGAATATTGAATAAAATTTTCTTATATGTCCAGCCACTTCGTTGAAACAAGGGCAGACTGTATAGTTAAATAAATCAAATAAATATTAACATGTTACGATTAATTAATAAGAATAAAAAAAAATGATTATATGAATCGTAACACAGGTATAAACAATAATAACAATGATAAATACAAAAATAAATAAATGAAATTAAAAATAAATAATAAATAAAAATAGAATTAGAATTAATTTGACCCGGAATTACAAGATTCGTCCAAAATATCTTCGTCAGAATCTAATTCCGGTAACATGCTTTATTTTCTACATATTTAAACAACGGATCGATATGGATCTTGATTTATTGAAGGAGAAACAAAAAAACAAATCTAAAAAATTGATAATAAATTCGAAGAAATTGATAATAAAATTGATGAGCTTTATAATAAAATTGAAGAATTTAATAATAAAATAGACGAACTTTCCAAAAAAATTTCTTTGCTCAATGAAGAGATTCAACAAAGATTCCAAGAAGAAGATACCCTAATAATAGTTCAAGCAGTTCTCAAGGTAAGATTATTTCAATGCATAAATATCTGTTATCATTGGTGAGATGCCCATAGTAAATCAAATATTTTTGTATCATTTCAGCTTCAAGACAAACTTCAGATGAACTTGTGCAAAAATTCAAGAAGCTTTTCAACAAAACTATGCGAGAAAAGAATCATACTAAATCAGAAATGATTAATGAAATTATAGCCGATCTAAAAAATGAAGCAGGATAAAACTTCTTGGATCCAAGGCTATTGAAAATTATTATAACCAAATGACAAAAAGTTGACACCAGGGTTGTAGGAGCAATCAATTCTTGGACCGTACTCAAAAGTAAAGAAAAAAAAAATCTGTATTTAACAATAATAACAATGATAATTATAATGGTGATTACAATGAAGAAATAGATAACAATAGTAATAAATAGTTTTCACCTGGTAGAGCCAAAGTAAAGGGGCATATATTAAATGGTCTAGGGGCCGCATGTTTTCTCCCTTGCAAGTTCGCGTTTATTCCTTTTTTCTCTATTATTCTTACATATCAAATAAAATATGAAAATTAGCCAATAATCTAAATAATCTATCTACTATTTCTTGATTGATTAAATATAATTGTCAATATCTATACCGATATCTGTCTCTTTGAGAAGGCATTTGACTTACCTCCAATGTATTCTCTGACCATAGCTTCATTCCAAAATTTAGAGGGAAGTCCATGAATATATGAGTCAAAGTCTCTATGCTCTGCATATTCTACAAAACTTTTCTTCGATGCAAGTATAAATTAGTTGGGTACCTTTCCATATTTTCTAATATGTATATTGGATCAAAGATTCAACGTTGTTGAGATGTAAAGAGAAATCCAAATTGGATAAGATCAGATAATTAATATGTTGTACAACATGGAAGGTCATGGAAAGATTATTATAATTACCTCATCAGGAATTTTAAATAAGTAAATCAATGGTGATCCATCTCCCTCATTTAATAATTGTCTTAGCAATTTTTTTTTTTAATTCGGGAATCATGGAATATTCTCTTGACCAATACTTCAAGGAAACTGCACCAAAGGACTATCAGTTTCTTGGTTATTACCAATATCGTAAAAGCCAAAAAGATTTTACAAATAATTTTTGTTTAGAGGCACGAAGACTCAACAAATGCTTGGAATATCTGGTGGAATGTGGATCGACTCTAGAGAAACAAATGGCTTAATGTTTGTACAATGTTTTAAGGCAAGTATCTTTTCATTTTAATCATCACTTGCAGGCAGACCACTGGCAGACAGTATGGAGGGCCCTGTTAAGTCTCGAGAAGGGAAACATCTTCCACAACTACGGTAGGCGCCTGCGTCCCGCTCACTTTATGGCGTTCATTAGATCCCGTTGTGGTCTACAAGCTTGGCTGTATCATATGCCTCTTTTGTAGAGGTGGGGTTCTCCAGTAGTCCTGAAAAGGGGTAACACTCACACAACTATGGCAGGTGCCTGCGTCCCACCTGACCTTATGGTGTTCATTAGATCCTGTTGTGGTCTGTTTTGCCAGTGGGTTTTTAATAGACAAAGATGGTAACAAAATTGTATATTATTTTTGTAGGATCATTGAAGCAAGAATATAGATATCAATAAATTCTGGAATGAAATCAAATGTGAATCTTTGGACATAGAATATGGCAAAGAAAAAAGGTGACTTCGATTGGACCAGGTCAATAATTTTTTACCTACCCTGATATTATATGTTGTATGGCTAATGATTGTTCTGAATTATAGGTGAGGTAGCCCATATTATGACACAGGGGACTGAAGAAGGTGTTGGAACAATTATGAGGAATGTTAATATGAAGCTGGTATGATTTACATTGTCAACGTCATTGGGTAAAAAGTGACCTAACTAATTCAACATCAAATTTATCTAGGATGAGTCAGTTCCTGCTTAATAAAATTTATAAAAAATTCACACCAGAACAACAGATATTATTAGATTCGAATTCTGAAGTAATGTTCAGAAAAGTAGTCAAGATGGCAATGAATGGATCATGTTTAAGACTAGTGCTGTAAATTATGATGATGGTAATAATTGTATTCATGGCATATACATCAGGAAATTTTTCTGACACAAATTTGCATAATATTACGGGGCCCGCCATAAACTTACGTAAATAGTGTAATATTATGCAAAAATTATGCAAAAATTACGCAATTATTACATTCAGTGTAAATATTATGTCTTTTTATGCGTAATATTACGACATTTCATATTAAAACTTACAGATGTAATATTATGGCGGGAAAAGTTTCCTGATGTGGACAGTATTATATATATTGTAGCTTGTATTAAGTTTCTCTTTGACTTTAGAAAAAATCATGTCAAATGATTGATTATCAAAACTTGTAAAAAAATCATACATGTTGTTATTGAGTTCTTTAAAACATTTTTTTAAAAGATACTCTAATGCACAAGGCAATCCTCCTGTGTCCCCCAAAAGATAAAGAAATGGTCTACATAGCTTCCATTTATATTCACCACATTCAAATTTTTCTGCATTACATGACTCTGCAAAGTGATCTACAATCTTAATCATAGATGCCATTGATAACAATGGACATTCAACAAAATGAAATGAAACTCTAGATGGCTCCTTAGCTGAAATGACAACTTGTGGAGCTGTTCCTGAAAGGAATATTTGAACAAATGCTTCTAGTCTATTCATCATAAATGTTGCAAGTTCATTGACCATATCTTTAAAGAAATCTTTATTAAAAGTTGTCATATATTTTTTCTCCCATTTATCAATCAATTGAAATTCATCAATATGAAGAAAAACAAAGAGTTGCAGATTCTAAATGTTCAGCAATGCTCTGAAACACAGCATCAATGTTGAAGCATTTGATGTATGGCATGATCTTTGACCGAAATTCAATAAATGACATTTTATATTTTTCATAGATGAAGAATATATAAGCATTTCATATGCCAATAATCACTGATGAAGAAAGTCCATAGTCAGTATTATCAAGTGGACATCCATTCCCAAAATCTAAGTAAATATATTGAAAATGATGTTGAATATTTTTTGTTGACAAAGTAGGTGGGTCCAGTTATCTTTGAATTGAAAAAAAAGTTCTTGGCCAAATTGTGTTTTACCTAAAATGCAAGATGTAGAGAAACAAAAACTTGAATATAAAAATTGTATTTCTTATGAATGTTAAAGAAGTTAGAGATAATATATTACCTATCCCTGGAGCTCCTCCACTGACAAGGATATTAAAATCCGTTTTTTGTTTTTTACCCAAAATGTTATTTTCTAAATTTTCTTTAAATACATTAATTGCCTTGGTAAAATCACGCTGCAATAATGGCATCTTAAAACCATATTCTAAAGTGGAAGCATGACCAACATTTTCTAAAACAACCTTGTCTATAACATCTTTAACTGAAAATTAAAGGAAATAAACATTAGAGATTAGGAATGTGAATGCATGCAGACACAATATTTCATGAATTATATACTTGTTTTAAATGCATCTTTATCTGTTGTGGAAATAAAAAGTAATAACAGAACAAATTAGTGAAAGTTAAAACAAATATATATGTATATAATTTTTTATGTATTTTTTTACACAATTTGTTCACTACCTTTTTCTTTGTTAAACTCTATCAACACCAGAACGTGGGTTTAGGATTTATAGTGAAGCAGAATTACAAATAGTAATTGAGAGATTATAGGTAATAAATAGTATTATTGAGAAGAAAAAGTGAAGAATGAAAAAAGTAAAAATTATTTATTTAATAAAGTAAATAAATTAAAAATTGTTAAAGGAGTTTACTATATATTGTTTTTGAACGATATCTCAAAATATTGGATATGGTTTCTAAGCCAAAATATTCTACATAAAGAGTTAGAAAATTGCTTTTTTCATGTTATGGCCCTTTTCTATTGTCCAAGCACTTTTCATGGACATTTTTCTATATTAACATCCCATTCAACGAATTTTAAATATAACTCATTGAAACAAGATTTTCATTGGATTAATTTATTTATATGCATTAGATCGTGTATATTGATCCGGATCAAATCAAAGCGAATCATTTATATCTTAGATATATTAAATGGTATATATTGATTCGTTCGAAGTCTTACGAACCTATATAGTCTGTTCCACGACTTCTGCGACCATTCTGCAACTTTCTTGTTCCAGTACGTTACGTAAGCTGGGTCTCTTGAAGCTGATACCCATCTCTGAGACAAGCTCACATTTTGTGAGAAGGAGTTGTTGCTGCTGTTAGGGGTCCGCTTTGCATTTTTTGGTTCATTCAATGGGTACTTTCTAAATGTTGCATACACGGATGTGAGAAGCGGATCCACACTTATATTCTCTCTTCTAGATTATCAGAGTTCTTTATTATTAATTATTACATGTCCTTGAGAGTTTGTATGATTACGTCAATTATATTGAAGGCGTGAGGTGTTTACGTGATTGTAACAAAGGAAATTAAGTTACAATTGACAGGCGATGAAAAATTGCTCTTCATACAAGATACACTTTGATGGCCTTCCTTAGGCTCCATTTGAAAAATAATTCTCTGATTCTGATTCTGATTCTGATTCTGATTCTGATTCTGATTCTGATTCTGATTCTGATTCTGATTCTGATTCTGATTCTTATGGTGATTATTATTATTATTATTATTATTATATGACGTTACGATGGTGATGATGGTATATCGTTTATTAAATCTAAAGAGATATTATAATCACCTACAAGTGATAGAATGGCTTCCTAATAGTAGTAGCAAGTAATTTACATTCTAAATAAGCAATTACGATGTTAATATGATGTCTTCTGTGATCGCATCTTGAACAGATCCAGCTTGCACAAATTCATCTACAATTATTACACTGCGATGATGTTTTGGCTCTTTATGAGCCCCCTCCACAAGAGCAAGGGCAATTTCTCTGGATGTTGATGAAACAATACACATCAAATGAAGATGGCGGTACCATGATTTTACATAGAAGTCAAGCAGATAATGGGGTAATTGAGTTCATCAAAAAGATGATTTTGGTAAAACAGCATGTGACGACAGGAGTGATAATGTATTATTATTCTTATTAGCTGTTAATAGAAAATTCATCTTTAATTAATGTCATATTGATTTTCTATTTGATCGAAGGCAATTTGGGTTTAAAAAATTTGTTCATTCCTCAAATGGATACACTTTTAATGTTAAACATTAAAATTCGAACCTTTTATTAAGAAAAAAAAATCAAAAAATATATTCTTTAATTATTTACCAAGTAAATTCATGAAATAAAATTTTTTTTATGATGATAAAGAAAGAAATTCGTAAAAAAAATTCCCCAAGGAAAAACTAGAATCTCGAATAATCAATAAATGAATCATATTGAGTTTTACCATTATCACCATCTACTTCATAATTGTTGTAATTATTAGTGTTAGCATTATTGATTTGGTTATTATTATTGTCCGTGTTATTATTATTATTATTATTATTTATGTCACGATCAGTTTTATCTTGGTTATTATTACCACCACTTTCATCATCATGGTTAGTATTATCAATACTCTCATTATTATGAGTGCTATTGTCATTGCTGTTGAAAGCCTTTTGTTTAGAAGGATTTGTATTAACGTGAGTTGGAAGTGTTAATAGAGGAAGTAGTGGAGGATTAATCGCAGTGTTAGGGATAGGAAGATTGTTCGAAGATGAAGAATATTGTTGACATAAATTATTTCGTCCATTAAATAAAGAAGAAAATTGATTACTATTATGATGATTATATATATTTGAAATAGTTTGTAAAGAACAAGAAGGAAATAGAGAGTTTTTGACAGTATCATCATCGCTGTTATCAGAGTTATCTTTAGAGATAGCAGAGGAATTTGTCGAATAATTTTGATTATTATTATTATTTTGTTGTAAAATGTTGTGAAAAGGAAATTGATGTCGTGATAATAACTGGCTTGATATATTATTTAATGTGGTAGGATGATAAATTGTTGTAGTTGTAGTTGGAATATTGCGATGATGATGAAGATGATTCTGGTGGGAATGAGTGTTGGGATTATTAATTAATTGTTGAAAATGATTTGACACCCATGCATTATAGAGTAAAGGCGCCAGTGTAGAAAGCTTTACATTATTGTTGATTGTCATGTGGTTTACGACATTTACTCCTCCAACATTACCAGCATTGTTTAAGCTTGAAGTTGTGGAAACCAAATATTCGCTATTTCTATTGCTATTGCTATTGTTATTACTAATATTATTGGCGGAAATAGTAGAAATGAATTCATTTTTATTGTTACAATCAAAATTTCTATCACCAAATTCATTTTCATGATTATTATGATTCCATAAATATGGCGTAATTGTATGATTATTATTATTGCTACTGTTGCTGATTATATGACTCTGAAGGTGATGATGTGGATGATAAAAAATGGACTCATTGTTATTAGGTTGATAATCATTTACATTACCATTATTATTGTCACTATCATTATCATTATCATTTACATTACTATTAACATTAGAGTTAATATTACTATTAATATTTATATTACTGTTGTTAGTATTATTGTTGTTATTGTTGTTATCAATAGCATCACTATTATCACTAATGGTAGCGTTAATGTTGATAAAATTACGTCGTTTTTTGCTAATAACTTTTTTACGAGCAGAGTTTCTAATAATTTTAGGCATTTTTTCACTTTTAATAATATCTTCGCTTGGTTGAATATAACGTAACTCTTCGAATGCTTTTGGTGGCAATAATGATTCTTCGCGACCTAAATAAATGTGTGTGTGTGTAAATAAGTAGTATAGATAAATATTTGCAAAAATTTTATTTAGCAAGAAAAATGAAAAAAATAACCTCGATTATCTTCATAAATAATCATATGTTGATAAGATCCATTGAATTTTATCGAAATAGTTTTTTTTAGTAGACCGTTATTTCTTAGTATAAAAGTTCCTTTGCTACATTGATGAACTTTTAGACCTTCAGCTTCGATACGAGCTTGTAAAACTTCATCGATTGGTTCGTGTCTTTTAATATTCCTATCACGTGTTGATAATTCTCGATACACCAAGAAATCTTTTATAATACGACTTGGTGACCATAATCTAAATTTACAAATTGACGGACGAATTAACTAAATTATAATCATTTCCAAAAAAAAATAGTAATAATTTACCTTCCATCTGTCCATCTTTTAATCCCGGATTCTTTCTCGTCAAAAACATAACTATGCGCGAATTTCAAATTAACATCATTTTCATTATTAATATTGACAACATTATTTATTACATGCAATACTTACACTTTCCCACCACATAACTCTTCTTTTTCTTTTTCTAATAAACGACGAGCAGTTCTTTGAATAACTCCTTGATGACATGCTTCTATTAATATTTACATAATTATTAGAGAATATTATATCATCAGCATCAAAAACATTTATTATCTCAGTAACAAAGACAATATTACCAAAGATTATTAACGCATCGTTAATAGTTTTGATTCTTCCTAATGTTAATAATAAAAAACATCATCATTATATATAAATAGAATAGAATAATAAGGTTTATAATTGTATATAATTTTTTAAAGTTTTCTTACCGTTAAAAGTTTCCATTTTTTCTAACTATTTTTTACTATTTAGTTTAATAATAAACTTTTTCTCAAAATTTAAAAACTAGAAAAAAATTTAATTTCTTATAGTCTGTTTTTTTTTTCTCAGCTCTTTTTAAATTAAATTTTGTCATATTAATAATAAGATCAGATATTAATTTGAAAATTTAATCTCAAATATTATTATCGCAAAAAAAAAGAAATATATTGCGTAAATACAAATACAAATAATCATCATAATTGATGTAGTATTTTTAAATATGATATTTTACTATGAGGTAAAGCTTTATTAATCGTGAGTTATCTCTGGTAATAATAATTATGATTGTAGCAAAGACATTTTCGTTATCTTGTCATCATTTTTATAATTTATTTGACTAGCGAAAATAAAATATCATTATTTTTCATTAAATCAAACTTTTGATACGTGTTGCTATCTATCTATCTATCTATCCAATATAATACGGTAATTAATTTTTATCATGATGTAATGTGTGTAAAATCCATAACCTCCCACTACACAATAACTTATAATTGCATAATTTATAATAGTAAATTAATCAAATTCACATCAAGAGAATTAATTATTGATAAAAATAAAATGATTAATTATCACCAAGATTTAATCGCGTATTCACGTGATTTTAGCAAATTATCAGAAAGATTAAAATTTTGAACCAAAAATTTTACTAACGAATACTAACGGATGCTCATTTTAATTTATCATTTTTAATAATGCAAATTTCGTAGATAATCGATCATAGATTCTGTATCCAAACATCTTGAACATATTCATTGTTTCGTCAGCCCGAAAGTCGGGTCAAAGCACGGGTCCCGATTTGATGCAGACATAATGACCAGGTAATTTGGTCATAAATTTTATGACCCGATGACATGAACTTGGGTCACTTTGACCATAATTGAAATTTTATCTTCTTGCGCATCTTTTTCATATATCTGCCTTCAATATAATTATAATTACCATTTATTATTTTATCAATTTCCGATTTGAATGTTTTTTAATCAATATTAATATTACCATTTTAGGCGATTTACGTTTAGCAAAAATCAAAAATAATAAATTCAACATGGTAAAGTTGAAGGAGCCAATTTCAATAAATTTAATTTATTAATTACTATTTAATTTGGATAATAGTCACCTTGTAGTTCCTGATAAAAATCAATTTCAACGCATTCTTCGTTTATTAAATAGCAATGTTGAGTAGGCATTAATGATATTATTACTATCACCATCAGAATAGATGTGTTTTTTAATTGTCTGTCAATAATACATTTTTTTTTTTAGTGGTAAGACAAAGGTAATGTTTGCCTTAACTGCTATCAAGGGTGTTGGTCGTCGTTATTCTAATTTGGTTTGTAAAAAGGCTGATGTCGATCTAAATAAAAGGTTTTTATTGTCTTGATTAAAATTAAAATATTCTTCAGAGCTGGTGAGTTAACCAATGAAGAATTAGAACGTATTGTGACCATTATTCAAAATCCTACACAATACAAAATTCCTGATTGGTTTCTCAACAGACAAAAAGATATATTTGATAGAAAAAAATCACAATTGTTGCTAATGGATTTGAAAGTAAACTTCGTGAGGATTTAGAATGATTAAAAAAGATTCGTGCTCACCGTGGTTTAAGGCATTATTGAGGTTTACGTGTACGTGGTCAGCATACAAAAACTAGTAAAAAAAAAATTATCTAGACAGCGTGCAAATTATTTTTGTTTTTTTTTGTTTATGGTAATTTTGGAATAATACTTGCATGTAGAGAGTTTATATACATCTGATAAAATATTTTGTATTCAAAACTTTTACATAATAATAATATAATACATTACACTCATCTATTTTTCCTTAATCTAATTTAATAGGTTGAGTATTTATTACTATCAGGTACATTGAGAAAATCAAATTTAATAATTCGTATATATATGTTATTAATTAAAACTTCTAAAAAAAATAAAATAAAATATATTTCTTAATTTTTAATATTTGATTTTGGTACAATGTGAAAAACTTCAAATTCTTCAATTATAAATTGATCTGGACTAGATCTAATACTTTTGTTATAATTAATTTGTTTACATCCACAAGGTTGTCCAATTTCAAAATGACCTTTTGGGAATAAATCACCTTTACCAAACACTGGTGAACAATAAACATTACAATAAATGGC